ACCATTTTTTTACACACAATAATATTTCATGAAGTTCTAAATCTTCAGTTAGCCAATGACAAGTGATTATTACATATTTTTCCAAAGCAGTTTTTTTACATGAATTGAGAACATAACAAATTTTTCTTGTTGGGCTTTTAACTTCAATTGAAGGAATAACTGATCATACGCATTGATTATTTGTTTTTTCAGAATATTAGAATTAGGTAATTCGTATTGTGGATTGATAAACCCAGCAGATTTTAAATTATCAATAAAACTAAGAGGTACTCCAGAAGAAGAAATAAAAAGTTTAATTAATGAAATATTAATTTTTAACTCGGAATTAACCAAGTTGGTGGTTGATGTCGTAGAAGTTAAAGTTGATGAAGAAGATTTTATTATACCATGCTTAGTTCGAAGATGTTTAATAAGATTAGAAGTAGATCCACACCACATATATTTTGTTGTGCATCCAGGAATCGTACATTTTGTTTCTATTCCATTCTCTCTTGGAACTTGGAATGGTTCAAAATATTTCCAACAGATACTTTCTTTATCATTAGTTTCAGAATGTTGGCGTTTTGATCGTCCACCATTGTTATCAACTAATAGGTTTTCTTCATTATTATTGGAAGCGGGAGCATAAAATAAATCATGATTTCTTTTATATCCGGCCATTGCAAAAAGGTTACAAATAATGAAAAAACATTATAATAAATTTAAAGTGCAGTATTGAGGCATTTTATGGTTAAATATTTTATATATAACGTTGAACAAATTTTGTGACGACAAATCAAATGAAGTTATTGATGTATGGTTAAATGTAACCGGTGTACTAGTAAATAGAGGGGATTGTGTTAGATTACGCAAGTGATCTTTATGTTACACTTCCCTATGAGAAAAGTGGTCTGGGTGACGTTACGATTTAGCACGGAGATGTCCGTAATTGTCCGAAGCGATTACAGTACAAGCAAACTTCATGCACGTCTATGCAATTTCCGGGCGAAAAAAAACCAATAAAATTTGAGCAATTCGAGGTCCCGTGAAGATCTGCAGATCATGTGTAACAATTGCATATCAAGCAGAAAATAATACGGTATAGTATTTGCTTCGGACGTTTATCAGATCCTGATTTCCTAGTGGTACGTGTACTGTGGTGCGTATATGCACGCAACACAGAATCTCACGGTGCAAAATGACACGAATCGTTGACTGTCCGGAATTACACGTGTAAGCCATTTATACGGGATAGCACGTATCCGGGGTAACACGTATAGGCTCGTTAGTTAAATTACACGTAATAAATGGCACGTGTATCTCGCATGGCCAGTAAAATTGCAGGATCTGGTGTAACGTGAAAATTCAAAATTTTTTAAAAAAATCGTCTTTATCTCAAAACACGCCTATGAAACTGTTCTTTATGTCCTAACAAAAAAAATTCCTTGCAAAATTTTACTAGAAGTAGGTTTATCATTTCTCCTTCGAAATTCTAACTAAATCGAATTCACATTTGCTTGTAAAGTCGTTAGAAATATATGCGTGTGCCTCGACTCGTGCCAAACCCGTGAATTTTGGTTTAGTAAAGTGCAATCCATTTACAGTCCAATTTAGCCATT